TTGGGTGATGGCACCATTTGTTTACTCTGGAACTTTGATGGGGAGGTGACAACTTATTTTCTCCCCTGAATCTGAGCTGCAATGGTCTGTCAGAATACCCTGGGAGACGGGTGGTAGAGGTTCCCTTAGAAGGAGTTTACAAGGTAATTTAAGTACTTAATCCTGTTGTTTTTCATAAACCGTTCACACATGGGCTCCCAAGACATGAGCAGGGCCAAATGGAGCACCCACAGCCTGTGAGGGAGGCACCTCTGGGAGCAGCACCCAGGGAAGGGGGAGCTGCAGGGGGACAGGAATCAGCTGAAACACTCCATGCTGGTTCTAACGCGCTCCATCTCATGCAGGAAGCTGTAGAACTGCGGCAAGGTTAATTCTGGGGAGAGAAAATTCAGCTTCAGGCAGATGTTTCCAACTCTGCAGAATCATCCAAGAAAATTAATTTCCACCCTAAGATTTTTTCTTTTTTGGCTTAGTACACCTAAGCAGCTCTTGATGGGTAATTGATGATAATAAAGAACTGAGATCCTTGAACACAGAAGGTTCTCAGCTCTGTAGGGGAAAAACGGGGAGTGTGTTAGCATGGCATCACTCCACAGCATGGAGACCAAAAAGCACCGCTCAGGATGTCTGATGCGACACCTGCAGCAAGAGTGTCTTGCTTTTAATATTCCTCACCTCCAGCCATCCCCCTCCACCCCTTTCCCTTTCTCCAAAAGGCTCTTCAACTTCAGGGTCTCCAACCTGCAATGGCTTTTTAATGCTCCTCGTATCATCTTTTCCGAGAGGAAAGGCAGTGGAGTGGCTACTCCACAGCTTGGTCATGACTTTTTTCTGGAAGGGATGATTTGTGGTAGTCTTCGCAAGCCCACTGAAGAGAACATGGAAAGTGAAAAGGCTCAAAGGGGGATTTGGACTCACCTATATACACATTTTCAGTTTGACTTCCTTTCTTAACCACCAACTTTAACTGATTAAAAAAAAAAGAAAAATTTAAAATTAAAACAATGACAATTGGGCAAAGAAATTCTTAAAACCCTTTTTCGTCCAGGGCTGGCTGGTTAACTCAGTTGGTTAGAGCACAGCCTCACGACAGCAAGGTCACGGGTTCAGATCCTTGTACTGGCCAGCCACCAAAAAAACCAAACCAAAACAAAACAAAAACAAAAAAACCCTTTCACTCAATTAAGCATCAAAACATCCCACTTCTGGGCCAAGCCTGTGGCGCACTCGGGAGAGTGCGGCGCTGCGCTCGCGCCACGGGTTCAGATCCTATATAGGGATGACCGGTGCGCTCACGGCGCTCACTGGCTGAGCTCGGTGTGGCCGGTCTCAAAAAAAAGAACAACAACAAAAAAAAACATCCCACTTCTAATTTGAGAGTTGTAGAGAGGCAGTCTGGATCATCCACCACTAAAAGTTCTGACAATTCTCACGACTACAGGAACAATCAAACTTTTATGAACAAAGTTAGAATCTATTTTGGTTTTTTTGGCAGCTGGCTGGTACAGGTATCCAAACCCTTGATCTTGGTGTTACAATACCATGCTCTAACCAGCCAGCCCAATATTAGATCTATTAATCTGAAATAAGCATGTCATGACCATGACTTTCGTTAACCACATTGCTCTGAGATATAAAAGGCACTTCAGTGAAACATCCATTTAAATGGATATCTAAAGAAACCCAAAGTAGATTTAATAACTTTTAAGAGTCAAAAATCTACCCATTTTCAAGGATCAGGAGAAGACTTACTTGTAAAAAAATACTCCCCACTTTCTCTAATTCGCTGCTCCCAGATGTCACTGTGACACAAAAAAGAAAAACTATGAGGACAGCAAGATGTGCTCTTCAGGAGGCCAAACTACGGATGGGAACAGCTACTGAATGTGGACAGCATGCAAAAGAGCAGCTGGTGGCCCCAGCAGTGTTTGAGGACTAAGGACACGTCTTCCCCATGGAGGCCATCTAAAAGTCCCTGCACCCCCACCCTATATCACCCAAAGACCTGGGACTGGCTCTAACTGGTTACCTCCAAATTTCCACTCCATATCTATAAGCTGGTTAATCATCAAAGTCTGACCTATGGCCCATCGAGCAAGGGTGGGGGCATTCTGCTTCCACTGGAACAAAAGCAAAAAGCCAAAGTCATAACAATGGGAAAATCTCCCCCTCCCCATTGTGCCACAAACACAGCAACTTTGAGTATTTATACAGACAGTGGGAAGAACACAGAACCAGGGGCTTGGCCTATATGCACATATCTGGGGCGGGGGGGGGTGTACAGAACTGCAGAAGACACTATGCATGTTTTCTTTCAAAGATTTAGTCAGTGTTGGAACAAAAACCGTGTGACATTTATATTCAGTCAAATCATTAAAAAAATGAGAGGTGCACTAACAACGCAGGTTAAAAGCTGTATGTATGTCATTCACGTGAAACCAAATGAAAAACATTAAGCTGGAGAAAGGATGCATAATGATTGATGGGTTTGCCTTAGTCAGCACTTTCCATTTTCTTTTCACGAAATAAAAGGGATCTTAATTAACCTCGATTAAAAGGAATTATACCTTTTCAGAAAAGTAAGTGGCTTTCTCCTCACTAAGACCTATAAGAGAACAGAAGGAGACATTAACATAATAACAAGCCACACTGGCCTGTCACTGTGAGCAACCTTGGGCAATGACCTACCCAGAGTTATGAAATCCGCTCGGACTTGCTCGGCTGTGAGACCCTTCTTCAAGGCACCTTGGGAGCAGGGGAGACATTGGTTAAAAAGGGCAAATCAGTTGGCAATAAATATTTAATGTGCACAACTATATGACATAGAGGACAGGAGGAATATGGGAAAATGGCTAGCTCCATGAAGATCTCCATCCAGCTGGGAGAAAAGAGCATTGGAAATAGCTGGAGAACGAGAAAGACTGCATGTTCTGTGTATTGTTCAACATGATTATTTTCTCCTCTAGCAAGTGTGGAAGAAGTGAGGACTCAGGGATGGGAAACTAATCTGAGAATGAGTGAGGCTACAGAGTCCTGAAGCAGAGGCAGGGGGAGCTCGACATCAGGCTGGACAATAGCTGAACTGCATGATGCAATATGTAGCCACTAGTTGCATGCAGTTATTTCAATTTTCATTAAAATTAATAAAATTT